ATAATATAAAGAAAAAAAAAAAAAAAAATTTTGTAGTTGCTGAGGAAGTCCCCAGTAAGGGACGAAACGTTCAACAAGATCAAATAAATTTGTTCATCAAAATTTATTAACTGTCTTCAATTTTCCCTTTGAAACTCATATATATTAATGCTATTTCAGTTTGCATATCGATAATTGTTTTGAGTCTTGTCGCACCAAAATTATGTTCAAAAGAAACTTTCTTTTTTTATTTAATTTAAGAGAATAGTTTATTGTTATGTCTAGTATAATCGATCAACAGAACTTATATTAGAAATAAAGTATCTCATTCTTATAAAGCACTTTGATTAAGAATATTCAGTATTCAAAGGGTTAAAGAATTGATATTATTTCATTGATTTTTTATTTTTATATTAACAACCCGATGCAATTGATCTTTTTTTAGTTACAAGAAAGATGACGGCTGATTATGAAAAGGATATTACCCATTGCTTAATCTGCAATAATAAAGTTGGGGTTTCAACCAGAAGCAGTATACGTATATTCAATGAAACTTCTGTTACTACTTCCGAAAAGCCCCTTGTTGATACTATTTGTACAGTTTTAGAAGTAAATATTAATGAAGAAACAGCGCATTCATTGGTTATCTGTAAAAAATGTTATAAATTATTTAATGAGGTAAATATTTTAATATCTTTCTATTCGTAATTTATGAGTTTTAATACAATATATTACACAACTATCAAAAAAAATTGTGCTTTCAGATCGATGAATTAGAAAATAGACTATTAGAGATAAAGCAAGAATTATTTAATAATTATCAAAAAACAATTACTAAAATAACAGACTTATCAAAAAATGATGAAGAATATAATGATCATGATTATATAAATAATCTAGAAGGTGAAACTATGGAAGTTGAATTAAAAGACGATGAAATTTCTAATCCATTAAATGTATATATGTTATTTTCTATTAAGAATATCTTTTACGACAAATAATTATTCGAATGATCATAATATATATTAACGAATGATTTGTTTTTAGTACAAAGAAAATGAAAGGGATTTTGAAGTAGTCGAAGAGATAATGGAAGAAAGTAATGAAATGGAAGAATCTGATAACATATTTGTTGGTGTAGAAGCCATACTTGATGCGAACAATGAACAAGAACAGAAAAGCTTAAAAAAATCTAAATCTGATGGAAAAGACGAAACTCCTCAGGAGCAGGTATTTAATATCTTATAGATGCAAATTTTCTCTCCCGTAAATAATAATTATCGTCTAATAATAAATATATATAAAATATTATTTTCAGTTGGTCATTAGAGAAGGGGTTCTTTATACTTGCTTACTATGTTCAGACGAGGAAGAAAAAGTAGTAGCTGATTCAAAAACTATTGTAATGCATATGAGAAATACCCATGAAACACGTTTATATATTTGCGATGTATGTGGAGATGACTTTAGAAAAAGAAATCTACTATCCCTTCACCTAGATGAACACGTTGCAAAGGAGGAAGGTGATTTTCAATGTGAAGTATGTAACAGAATCTTTGGTAATTTACGATTATTTAGAATCCACAAGAGAATTCATTATCCGCAAGTAAAATCGTGGTCTTGCGAAACTTGTGGTAAAAAATACAGGTATGTTATATCATTTGAAACAATTTGCTAATACTTATATTTCTCTATAATTTTATGAATAAAAATAAATGTCAAAGTATGTGATTCGTAGCTCCAGAAATCTTTTGGAAGAGCATATTAATACACATACTGGAGCGCGCCCACATGTTTGTGAAACTTGTAACAAAAATTTTGCATCCAAGTATACGTACAAAGCTCACATTAAAACACATCAGATAAGACCACGGCCATTTAGGTGCTCGCAATGTAATAAAACATTTTTGAGCCAACAAAATCTGAATCAACACGAAAGAACTCACAATGGCATTAAAGAGCATGTTTGTGTTCAATGTGGTAAGGCATTTGGTTCGCCGCATAACTTAGAAGTACATAATATTGTTCATACCGGATATAAACCATATATATGCAGAGAATGTGGGAAGGCATTTGCTAGGAAAGCAGAAATAAGAGATCATGAACGCACTCATACAGGAGAGAAGCCTTATCAATGTGAATTTTGTGGAGCTACTTTTAGGTAAGAATATTTTTGTGTTGTTCGTCATTTATATTTTATATATAAAATCAAAAATCTAAATAAAAAAAATATTTTTTAGTCAAAGATCTAATCTGCAATCTCATAAACGTGCTACGCATTACAATGACAAAAGATACAAATGCAGCGATTGCGATAAAGGATTTAAAAGAAGAAGACTTCTTGATTATCACATAAAAGCAGCTCATACAGGTGAAAGACCATATAAATGCAATGTGTGCACAGCAACTTTTGTTTATCCTGAACATTTCAAGAAACATATGCGCATTCATACTGGCGAAAAACCATATTTATGTGAAGTATGTTATTATTGTGATTTTATTATTATTATTATATTCAAAGTATTTATCTTATCTATTATTTTTGAGAAAATTCATATTGTTTTTTAGGTATGTGGAAAAGCATTCAATAGTAGAGATAATAGAAACGCACATAGATTCATACATAGTGACAAAAAGCCTTATGAATGTTTAGTTTGCGGTACAGGCTTTATGAGAAAGCCTTTGTTGTATGCTCATATGCAAGCTCAGGTATATAATCTGATTATTTATTAATAAAAAAAATGAAATATTGTTAAATCTATGTTTTTAACATTTATAACTTAACTAATATATTATTATATAATAGGGACATTTAAACGATACAATTGTTGTTAATCAACCACGTTTAACCACGGAAGATGATCAAATAATAACAATTCCAGAAAATAATGCAGAATTGTTAATGGATGACTGTGCAAATAATCAGGTAATTATTTATTCTCTATTTTTATACTTATTTTTGTTTATTTTATAAGTCATTTAATTATTAATAATTAACTTGAAATAATATTTAGTTGGAAGAAACTGCGTTATATGTCACTGAATTAAAAGACCACGTTATCATACAACATCAGGATGATAATCAAATATATAATGAAGAAACTGTTTTAAATATACCTGAGGAAGAGAATGTTGTAGGAGAAGTAGTTGATCAAATAACGGTACATGAACAGGTAATATTATATTATATTAAAATAATGCACACGTTATGTATATTTTATGACATAAATTTGAAATGTCTGTTTCTTTTTATTTAATAGATACACTTTACTGAAAGAGATTCTATAGAAGATAAGAACGAAGAAACAAATCAAGTTGAAGAAGTATACACTTACAACGACAGTGAAGAAGGAGAAACAGTTGTTCCCCATCCTGCTGAATATAAAGAAATTGTGGAAGATAAAAAACATTCTGTAAGATTGGTTCAGATAAAATTTCCATCGTCAGTATCCGAAGAAGGTAGAAGTTGGCTGAGCTTAGTACAAAATACATAAAAAATTTATTTAATTATTGCTTAGCATAATAATTAACTGATCAGCATTAAATATGTACTTCTAGGATTATATTGAATCCGTACATAATTTATATACTTTTATCAGATAAATGAATATCTTTTATTTTATACTTAAATATAAAAAATAATATTATATAGGTAATCTTATAAACATGATCTACTTCGCTAATAATGTATGGTAATAATGTATTTATAGAAATGTGTCTAATCAAAGACAATTTCAATTAGATTGTAAGTGCATGGAATGTGTTATTTGTTCAACCATTGATGATTTTGTAACACCAAGTAACAATTGTATAAGTGATAAAAAATACACAATATAAGTAAAACTACTTTTAGCATGTTCAAATTATCTTACGTTGCAAACTTATGACAAGTAAAAAGATATATAAAATATTTGTGCTTTTTTTTTTACATACGGCTCTATGTTCTTTGGTCGTATATCTTTCACAAAATTATATTATGTATATAGCAACAAAAGATACTAAATTTATATCAAATAAAGTAAGTCGTCTAACTATAATTAAATATTTTCTATTGTATTTTCTCTGAGTTTTGAAAAGTTTGTCATTTTTTGGTAACGATAATATTTATTCTACGTTAGACGTTATTTAATATATAATATAATAGAGACTATTTACCGCAAATATGAGTTCCACTTATCTTGGATTCGAATGGAAAATTCGTTTTAATCCTTGTTTTGTAAGTTTATATTTCCAAATTTTGTAATTGTTACCATTAACTTTATTATTCTTCAATAAAAAAAAATTCAAGAAAAAACAAAACAAAAATGATAGAAATTAATAAATATTCAATATATTATGTTTCGTTCAAATTTTGATTTTTATATTACTAACAAACAAATTTGATACTCTTACGATCGTTCCGATAAAAACAGCTACACAATGTTGTTGTTGCTGGTTGTTGTTGTTGTTATTATGTACATAAAAATTATAATTAATATTTTCAAGACACTTATTTCTAAATCTTTATAATATATTTAATAACATATCTTTTTAACAAGACACTGTACAATTGACTATAAAAGGTACGGTATAAATCTGTAAAACTAATTTATACCTAAGTTAAGGTAAATATATATATATACATTGCAAACAGTCAATCAGGTACAGTTATCAGGGATTGAGCATCCAATAAACTTTCAGTTGTAAGTATTGTACTATTTATGATAGGGGTACTAACGGTATTCCCAGAACTTTTACTACTAAATGGATAAAAGCTGTCGATATTCATTTGAAGTAAATAACTACTTAACTTATCAATTGGCGATTCACAACTCCTATCTAATCTTAATCTTAATTGATTTATATCGTTTTGAAGTAATCTAGTGTAAAGATCTATGTGACTTCTACCACCATTGTGAATAACAAGCGGGGGTATCCAACGGAAATAACATTGGCTCCAAAGTTCTAAATTCGAGATACAGTACAATGGTTTAACGGTCATCCTTTCCGTCAATGTTTTTTCATAAGCGTTAAATAAAGGATTAGAAAATAATAAGATATCTTGATCATTAAATTGTTCTCTCCAATCCCAAACACTACGTAATATAAGCGGTGTATTTGGATCCTAAAAGTACGTCATTAAAATATTATTACATACATTCAATTTCAATAATAATCTAAGAAGAATCTAATTTAATATACTGATTTGCTAAACTCTCTATAACTCTAATTATATTAATAGTTATAGTGGATGTTCTGTAACCTGGTGGTACAAACAAGTAAGGGATGATTCTACACGAAAAACTAAATTGAAAATATAAAATACAATTTATTCATATAAGGCTTTATTTTTTGGAGAAAAATATGTTTGTATCGCCAGTTGTGTGCAGAACACCCTCTCTGTGTATTTTAAATATTAAAGTATTACCGTAGCTGCCGTCATACGATCTTTTTCACAATTAAAAATAAAAGTGTCAAATATAGATACGTGAGCTGCATCCCACAACGTTGTCAAATATGTTTCAGTAAATTCGAATTCTGCTGGGAATTGTTGACAAAGTTGCCAAACGCAGTCAAGAAAAAGTAGAAATAATGGAGACTATAAATATCAAACAAATCGATTAGATTAAAAAGTTATTATAGATATACACGAATGTATGTTAAATAAATATTTCTATACCTTTTCAGTGTTTGGTTTCATCATATGTCCCAAACGATCACAAAAAGGATGTCCACTGGCGACCCATTCTTTTTGTATCAGAGATTGGAAACCAACGATCGTTTGAAAATATGGATCAAATAATAATTGTATTAAACTTGATACGACACAACATAAATCTCTAGCTTCTCCTTCTAAAAATATATATTAATATTTTACTTCTTAACAAAACAACTTTGAATGACATTGTTTTGGTAATGAAACTTATGATAAATGCAAATAGTAAGAAATATTGATCTCTTATTTCATATATACCTTGTAAAACTACTGAAAATCCTGACTTAAGACTTTTACAAGCTACAATTGTTTTTTCTAGACAGTATGATACATACTTAAGCCATTTTGTACTTTCCAATAACGAATAGAAATTATTATCTTGTATCCAAAGTTGTCTAATATTTTCTGAAAGTAAATAAATCAATTATGAATATTGTTCAATTAAAGTCATACTTCTTTAAAAAATCATTATAAAAAATTGTGTTGCGAATAATGCAGTAATGCTAACCTGGAGAACACAAACTGGAAAATTTGGAGAAACTTACAGCTATTGATTTAACACTAATATCTTTACTTAGATCGATTAAAAGGGGTGGCATTTTACAAGGATGACTTTTCCTAACATTTTCTAACATTATGTTTTCTTGTATCCTTTCGTTAATTGTTGGTAATAATTCAGGCATTTTGACTAATGCTGCACCATGTTGATTGGACCATGCCCAAACTGGTAATCGATTGCCTTGAAAGCATTTTGCAGCGTCTGTTAGCTGACTATTTGTTAAAGACGCTGGTACAATGATATACTGTGGTAAACTGCATAAATAATTATACTCAATAAGATATATTTGAATTTTAAATTATTATTTAGTTAATATTAACCAACCTGGAACACAACTGATATTTTTTATTAACCGTTGATAATCTCCATCCTTTGCTTGCTTTTTCGCTAATTAATATACGTTCAAATTCATTCTGCCAATCGGATATATTACTAAATAATCTTATACCTTTGTCAAGACTACTGTAGTATGGTTCGCTAAAATTAAACAATACTTGTCATATAAATTGTGTAAATAAAAGTTGACGATAAAAAGTAATACTAACGTGTAATCGTATGCAAATAATAAATGATGTCTGCTAGGAAATGCATGATGTAATAAGGCATTTAAAATATTTTTTCCATCCCCGAGAGGTGAAAATTTAAAGGAAAATGACCATGTCCTCAAATTCTGAAAAGAACAATAAATATTTCCAATGTATTATATTTAACAATATAAAAAATATTAAGTAAGGTTAAAAAAACTTGTATCAAATTAGTCTATATTGTATTAAAATTATTACTATAAAATTTAATTTTTGTTTGTATCTAAATGTTTTTTAAAAATAAATTTTCGTCATAATGGCCATATGCGTTCTACTTGAAAACTTCATATGTCACATATGAGAAAATTATCATGCAACCTGATACTTTAGAGGCATCCAAATTAAAGTTATTTTAGTTAAATATCCCTGTTTGCTATTCATAATGACAGTAGAAGTCATATAATTATTTCAAAAATATATAGACCAATGATGAGTAAGAATAGATAGGAGTTGTTAATTGCCATGACTTTTAACAATATTCTAACGTAGAGTGCAAATTGGAATAGATATGGCTGGAATGCCCAAGTTTTTTAACACATTGAATACCAAAGCTTGCATTGTTTTTCTACAATAAAATAGATACTAACCCTCTTAAATAAATTTTTAACAGAATCACTATTGATCTGATTTTTTACAAATTTTTGTTTATATTTTATTAGAAATTAAACAAATGCAGAAAAAAATAAACAATGACAGGTATAACATATCATGTATACTTGAATCACATACTTACTTGGAATAAAAAATGAATCTTACAATAATGCAGAGTCAATGTTCAATGTGTTAACTTTCAAAAGATATTATATTAAAGAAAACGTTTACCTTACAAGTAATAAATATCGCTTTTACTTTGGACGGTACTATACTTCCCGGAAGAAGTTTTTTCTTTTTATCACCAACTATTAAGTAAATTTCGTCGATATTTGTCAAGCATGTATCCGTATACCCATACAAATGATTTTGTTGATGATAGTTATCCTATTGATTAAAAAATTGTTTATACATTAAAAATATAATCATTTAAACTTAATAAGCGAGATAAAATATAATAGAGATTACCTCTCCATTAGGATCATCGGTTGTAATAAAAGAGAGCTTGAAATTAGTAATAGAAAGTACACCGGAAGTTCCTTGTTTTAAATCACCAACCGGTGAAAACATTAAAACGTTTTGTGCTTTAGCAACAAGAGCTTCTCCTCGTAAAAGTTTTAAATTATTTTCAATCAATGAATTACGCTGACTAGATTCTATTTGCTAGATGGATCAAAAATAAATGATCAATTTTTTTTATATTACTCATCATATTAAATAAGTTTAATTAATGTGTAATAACTTTAAACAACTTTTTACAATTCATCTATATTTAAATTATATATTGTAGATAGTCAAAATTAAAAAGTAAACATAGAAATCTGCATTGATATGTAGACAAATATAATTTTTATGTATGACAGATTTTATAATTAAAAAATGTATACACACAAAAATATTGCTATATAAATTATAAATTGAATCATATTAATTTTTCATATAATTTTTTGTATTGTATAAGTAAAAAAACAAACGAAAAATAATACCTGCATTTCAAGTTCTTCGATTCCCACATAACTTACAAAATTGTTACAACTTTTACTTTCCATGATTGACATTTAAAAATGATGTCGATTTAGAAAAGGAAGGTCAGTTTTGGAAACACGAATTTCTAAGTGTTTCTATTAATCCTTTATCTCATTCTTATCAATTTTAATAGCGTTCCATTGTATGTATTTCATGTGTTTATTTATTGTGAACCACAATTATGAATTTCGATTTTAGATGTAAAAAACAACATGAGACAACACAAACATAATGTATATATCATAATATATGCTAAGTTTCTAAAGTTTTATAGCATAGATCAAATATATTTTAGATAAATCATTGATAAAATAATATTTATTTAGTACGTCTTACCACTAGATGGCAGAATTGTCGACTGTTGACAAAAAATTCCACCAGAGAGAGG